ATTGCCGTGGAGAGACCGGATTTACGCTGCTAGGAAACAGTAAGCGAGAGGTGAGAGATGAATCTGAGAGCTTGTGCTGTGACCGCCGATGAAAGCTGGAAAGCAAGAACTGTTGAGGACTGTCACTGAGAAGCTGTTGAGAGCGCAGAGAGCACAAGTTTGGTTATGTTCCTTTTTGTTTGAAATAAACAGGATGAGTCTCGGTAAGCTGACCCTGACTTCCTTCCTTCCTCTGTACATAGTTACACTGGTGCCGGAAGCCAGGAAGAAAGAATAATAACGCTGCCGTCATGCAAACCCCGTCAGGTTCGAAAGATGGTCCAGAACCTCAGAGTCTACGAAGACCTAAAACGAGCCATTCTTCAGCGGGTCGACCTCAGCTCATAGACCAGTGGTTCTCAACCCTGTCCTGGCGTACCCCCAACACTACACGTTTTCCTTGTCTCCCTAATCAAACACACCTGATTCAACTCATCAGCTCATTATCACATGGGTTAATGAGCTGATGAGTTGAATCAGGTGTGTTTGATTAGGGAGACAAGGAAAACGTGTAGTGTTGGGGGTACGCCAGGACAGGGTTGAGAACCACTGTCATAGACCGACGGGTCGACTTCAGGTCGCTAGACCTGGGTGAGGGGGGCCGACCCTTCGTGATGGCTCAGCAGCTCCGGGATGCGGACCACAGATGGCTGTTGGCCGGGGGAACCTGGCCATCCAACTAGGGGAGGATCAGATGGTGGCATGCCCCGGGGTTGGCGAACACCTACCAGCTGTCTCTCTCTCTCTCTTCCCCTTTGATTTCTCCCTCTCCCTCTACCTTTTCTCATCCTGTCCCTTTCTGTAGGACCCGTTCCCAAGTCCTTCCTCGAGTTCTGCCCTGGGGGTGGGGTGGACAGGCATCAGAGTTCCCCATTATCCTGAGAGCTCTGCCCTGGGACTGCGCCCACATCAGCTCCTTTCCCCCCCGCTCTCTCCATGCCAATCCCTTGACCCACTTCCTGCCACTAATGGGGCGGGGCGGTCTGTTGGCGTTGCAGGGTTTTGGGACATTTTAGTGTTAGGTGTCCAGTGATGGAGGTGGAGACACTGATCCGGGTCCCAGACGTCCCGCAGGCTGACTCCAATCAAGCTGGATTGAACCTGTGAGTATAAAGGAGGGGGGTACTTATCAGGCATTGGTGGATTCAGGATGTAACCAAGCCTCGATCCATCAAAGCCTGATTCAGCCCGAGGCATTGGATGAGAGCCACATGGTTCAGGTGCACGGGGGACATCCGCTAATTTTGGGAACAAATTGGACCACCAGGGGAACAGAGCGTTATTGAGAGGCTGATCCTCACAGAGCGCGATGATTTTACCCTAGAACAGTCTCAGGATGAGACATTAAAACATGCTTTTGAACAGGTCCGTTCTATCGACGGTCAACCTCTCCAGCCTGCTCGTTCACTCTCCTATCCCTATTTTGCTATTGTAAAAGATAGGTTGTATCGAGTGACACAAGACACTCAGACAAAACAAGATACAACCCAATTATTAGTACCCAAAAGCTGTCGGGAAATGCTTTTCCAGGCGGCTCACTGTAATCCTATGGCCGGACATTTAGGACAGGCATCGACACTAAATCATCTCATGACCTGATTTTTTTGGCCGGGTATTCACGAGAATGTGTCCAGATGGTGCACGGCTTGTCGTGAATGTCAGCTGGTAACTCCACCGGCCTCCCCAATAGCACCTTTGCGACCTCTTCCTCTAATGCAGGTCCCCTTCGAGAGGATTGGTATGGATCACACCGGGCCATTAGAACGATCTGCACGTGGGCATCACTTTGCATTGGAGCTGGTGGACTATGCAACACAATACCCCCGAGGAGATCCCGAAGGAGATTCTCACTGACCAAGGCAAGGCATTCATGTCACGAACCTTACGCAAACTGTATTATTGGGCATTAAATCGATTCGCACCAGTGTCTATCACCTACAAACACACAGGTGGAACGATTTAATGGCACGTTAAAAACCATGATTTGGAAGTTCGTTCACGAAGACGGCAAAAAAATTAACCCCTCTTGTTTTCTGTGCGTGAGGTCCCGCAAGTCTCCACATGGTTTCCCCCCTTCGAGCTTCTTTATGGACGTCAGCCCCATGGGGTGTTGGACGTCCTGAGAGTAACTTGGGAGGACGGACCTTCAGATAGCAGAAATTAAATTCAGTATGTGCTGGACCTGAGAATAAAACTGCACACTTTGGGGCGGCTCTCTATGGAGAATTTGTTACAGGCCCAGGACAGACAGAGCCGGCTTTACAACAGGGGGACCAGGCTATGTGAATTTGCACCAGAAGATAAAGTACTTGTATTGCTCCCTACTTCTAATTCTAAATTACTCTCTAAGTGGCAAGGACCCTTTGAGGTCACACATTATGAGGTAATTCAAACAGACAGGAGCAGGGCATGTCAGATTTACCACCTCAGCATCCTTTAAAGGTTGAGTCAGTGATGTTAGCGACGGCAGTCAGCGGAGAGGAAGATCTCTGGCCAGAAGTGAACACCAAAGTGCAATCTCTCGCTCTGGACCGGGAGGAGATCACCTCTCGCCCTCGCAGCTCACTGATATAGCCAGGTTGCAGGCAGAATTTGCAGACGTGTTCTCACCCCTGCCTGGTCGAACGATTCTCACTCAGCCCCATATTGAGACCGAGGCAGGGGTGGTAGTGCGCAGCCGGCTGTATCGATTACCTGAACACAGTAAAAGTAGTTCAGACTGAATTAGAGGCGATGCTAGATATGGGAGTAATAGAAGAATCCACAAGCAATTGAGCGAGCCCAAGCGTGCCGCACTAGTGCCGATTCACGAGTTCACACTTACGAATGATCAGAGAGTAAACGGTTATGCGTATTTGGAGTGCCGTCCGGGGGGAGGGCTCTGAGCTCGGAAATTGGGCCCGAACCCAGAGTACCCCCCCCCCCCGTATCTCTGGTTAGGAAAGTAACCAGGCAAGTGTGAGGAGATGGGGTGGTAGAGGGATGCTGAAAACTGTTGAGGAATATAGGTGAGTCGACTGCGTATATTTATAGGCCTTACTCATGCTGATTGAGTGGACCTGTTGATTACTGATTGCTGACAGCTGGTTGGAATGACTTGATTGTTTGATCATTAGAACGTGTTCCTCCCGAACCTTGTTACTAAAACATCATAAAGTGAAGCCAAAGCGTCTCGATCACCCCCCGGTGGTTGGTCCCAGTATAGGTTATTAACTCCGCCTCCCCATGAAGTCTACTGGACGCGATGGAAACTAAGCAATCAAATTACACTTCAAATAAAAAAATTTCAAAGGTGTTTTCTGTCATTTTAGGTAGTTCTGTCAGGTCCATTTAAGTCAAGAACATATGACAATAAATAATTTAGGACATTTTATTGATAAATTGCAATTTAAGTTGATAAATTGTGAATAAAATTTTGGCGGTATGGCTCTGTTCAGGGAGTCCTCTGACCTTTCATGAGCACCATGAAATAGCAGAGAGTCAGAGGACAGCAGCAGCATTAGGGGACACTCACACAGTTTTTAGGACTGGGAGAGCTGAACTATTCCCCCTATGAACAGAGCAGCAACGATGACAGAATAGCAAATGCCACGTATACACGACAAGGAGGAGCTGGGGAGGTGGCGGGTTGCAGAGAAGCGAACAGCAAGCAATTAGGAGCGAACTGAATCTGCTTAAAATAGGGCGCCTTGTTTTGAGCGTAGCCATTAGCAGCAAGGGGAGTTGAACACATAGAAGGTAAAAGAAATGGACACAGCGACCCCATAGACTTCAACGGAGAAAAGTGAAGTCAATTAGAAGCACTCACTTCCTGATTGCCAAGCGAACTGCGCAGGCTCAAACTGAGCTGGACGACGTAGATGTGACGTGAGAAACTTGTACGTCTTCTAGTAGCTGTGCCAAGAGGAATCTGAATCATTCCCTTCCGAATCTTGCAGAGCCGGAGATCGTGAGTATTAGCTGTCCATGAGCTAGCAGCAGGAGCAACTTTATGACACTCTATGGGCTTCTCCCTCGACTTTATGCCTCCACGTCCCCCCGATTGTGCGCGAGCTTCTACTTCTGTCTATACGGTAATTTCTCTACTGTGTGACAGAGTCGCGTGTTATGACGCAACCGTTAGCCTATTTTTACAAAAACTGCTTCTACGGGGCCATAACGTAAGATACAAGGTAATGGAGCCTTTTATACATTGTCGTGTTTCTTTAGAAATAAACAATGGACAAATGGAGTCTTTAAACGCCTCAGATGTAAAGTTATTCGCTGTCAAAGTGACGCAAAAATGAATGGGAGTCAATGGGATGCTAACAGCAGGTGAAGGCTTGTTAGCCAATGGCGGCCCCCGGGGAGACTTCAGTTTCCGGCTGGTGGATTACCCCCTTGGTTGAACAGCTGATGAGCCAAATCTGCACAAGATGTCAGCGCCATCTTAGGACTTTGGCGGCTTCACTTTTCACCAATGGAAGAGAGTGAAGGGGCATAGTCCATCCCAATAGTTTTAGTTTTAGATGGCTCCCCGGCCTGAGTCGGGCGGTGGGGGTATGTGGCGTGGGGGGCGTAGTTCAGCGAGGTCTGCGACGGGAGAGAGAGTTGGGAGACGAGCGGTGAGTAAGTAGGACAAGTGCAAATGACAAACACCTGTGTCTTGTTGTAGCAATTGGCATGGAGAGTCCGGATGTAAGCTGCTGAGAAACAGTGAGAAAGCAAGAACTAGTGACGACTGTCACTGAGAACTTCTGTAGAGAGTTGGAAGCAGCAAAAACCATCGTTCACCACGGATGGTCATTGACACATAAATCAGAGACCAAAGAGTTCCAATCAAACATTGTGTATGTTATGATTCTGAGTTGGACTACCTGTAGGTTTTTGTGTTTTATTTTATGTATGTACTCTGACTAAAAATGACATTGCAAAATGGCTGCAGGTTGTCCAACTCAAAAACAATTTTGATAATGGCAAAATAACATTTGGAAAACACTTGTTTAATAATTGCTTGCAGTTTTCACAGCTGTACAACAAATTGAATAAGTCACAGAAATAGAGGTTATGAAATTGTTTGTTGCATAAAATGTATCACGTCTAGTGATAAGTCCATGTACAGGAAGTATAAAAATCATATATATATATATAGTAGATAACTATAATAAATTGGCAAGATGTAAACAGTTCATACATATGTGCATACATGACGCCTGCGTCAGAAAAACAAAAAACCCAACTGAAGGCAGCAAATGGTGAGATAGTCCATGAAGAATCGTCCAGTTTACATGGCGAGGCCACAACATGCGTGCGATGAGTGTTTTCATGAATTCATAACAAACCTTAGGCAATTCTTTCCTAAATGGACTAAAACAAACAAGGCACTTTATGACAAAAAAAAAAAAGTTTTACAGGAGAAAAACAATCCCATAAAAGTTTTGTAACTAACACACAGCCCGATACTGAGGCCATCAGTGTGTTTCTCTTGTTGCTTTGTTTATTCGCACCCCTCCAACTTCGAAGGTCAGAGAACGAACGCCATTTTCTCTTCCTTAAAATGTCCAAGTGCTTTGAGCCAAGTGCTTCAGTTAGCAGAAGAGCTAACCTGTAAACAGTAACATGGGAATGTGTGATCCTTCTCATTCGGCCTCTTTCTCAGGGCTCTTGATGCTGTCTGTCCTCACGATGCATGTGGGCCGATGGCGATTGAGCATCAGTATGAGCTGCTGTCGTTCGTGCTTCAGCTCCTCGATCTGTGACTTCAGCTCCGAGTTCATCATCTCTAGACGTTCAGATTCCTTCAACGGAAGAGTTGAGGGCACGTTAAAGGGATAGTTCACCCGAAAATGAAAATTACCCCATGATTTACTCATCCTCAAGCCATCCTAGGTGTGTATGACATTCTTCTTTCAGACGAATACAATCAGAGTTATATTAAAAATGTCCTGGCTCTTCCAAGTTTAATAATGGCAGTGAATGGCCGTTTCTGTTTTGAAGTCCATAAAAGTGCATCTATCCATCATAATAGTGCACCTATTCATCATAAAAGTGCATCTATCCATGATAAAAGTGCATCTATCCATGATAAAAGTGCATCTATCCATCATAAAAGTGCATCTATCCATCATAATAGTGCACCTATTCATCATAAAAGTGCATCTATCCATGATAAAAGTGCATCTATCCATGATAAAAGTGCATCTATCCATGATTAAAGTGCATCTATCCATGATAAAAGTGCATCTATCCATCATAAAAGTGCATTTGTCCATGATAAAAGTGCATCTATCCGTCATAAAAGTGCATCTATCCATCATAAAAGTGCATCTATCCATGATAAAAGTGCATCTATCCATCATAAAAGTGCATCTATCCATCATAAAAGTGCATATATCCATCATAAAAGTGCATCTATCCATCATAAAAGTGCATCTATCCATCATAAAAGTGCATCTATCCATCATAAAAGTGCATTTATCCATCATAAAAGTGCATCTTTCCATTCTCTCTAAGATGCACTTTTATGATGGATAGATGCACTTTTATCATGGATAGATGCACTTTTATGATGAATAGATGCACTTTTATGATGGATAGATGCACTTTTATCATGGATAGATGCACTTTTATCATGGATAGATGCACTTTTATCATGGATAGATGCACTTTTATGATGGATAGATGCACTTTTATGATGGATAGATGCACTTTTATCATGGATAGATGCACTTTTATGATGGACAAATGCACTTTTATGATGGATAGATGCACTTTTATCATGGATAGATGCACTTTAATCATGGATAGATGCACTTTTATCATGGATAGATGCACTTTAATCATGGATAGATGCACTTTTATCATGGATAGATGCACTTTTATGATGAATAGATGCACTTTTATCATGGATAGATGCACTTTAATCATGGATAGATGCACTTTTATCATGGATAGATGCACTTTTATCATGGATAGATGCAATTTTATGATGGATAGATGCACTTTTATCATGGATAGATGCACTTTTATCATGGATAGATGCACTTTTATCATGGATAGATGCACTTTTATGATGGATAGATGCACTTTTATGATGGATAGATGCACTTTTATCATGGATAAATGCACTTTTATCATGGATAGATGCACTTTTATGATGGATAGATGCACTTTTATGATGGATAGATGCACTTTTATCATGGTTAGATGCACTTTTATGATGGACAAATGCACTTTTATGATGGATAGATGCACTTTTATCATGGATAGATGCACTTTAATCATGGATAGATGCACTTTTATCATGGATAGATGCACTTTTATCATGGATATATGCACTTTTATGATGGATAGATGCACTTTTATGATGGATAGATGCACTTTTATCATGGATAGATGCACTTTTATCATGGATAGATGCACTTTTATGATGGATAGATGCACTTTTATGATGGATAGATGCACTTTTATCATGGATAGATGCACTTTTATCATGGATAGATGCACTTTTATGATGGATAGATGCACTTTTATGACGGATAGATGCACTTTTATCATGGACAAATGCACTTTTATGATGGATAGATGCACTTTTATCATGGATAGATGCACTTTTATCATGGATAGATGCTCTTTTATCATGGACAGATGCACTTTTATCATGGATAGATGCACTTTTGTGATGGATAGATGCACTTTTATGATGGATAGATGCACTTTTATGATGATAGATGCACTTTTATCATGGATAGATGCACTTTTATGATGGATAGATGCACTTTTATGATGGATAGATGCACTTTTATCATGGATATATGCTTTTTTATGTTGGATAGATGCACTTTTATCATGGATAGATGCACTTTTATGATGGATAGATGCACTTTTATGATGGATAGATGTACTTTTATGATGGATAGATGGACTTTTATGATGGATAGATGCACTTTTATCATGGATCATGCTCTTTTATCATGGACAGATGCACTTTTATGATGGATAGATGCACTTTTATCATGGATCATGCTCTTTTATCATGGACAGATGCACTTTTATCATGGATCATGCACTTTTATCATGGATAGATGCACTTTTATCATGGACAGATGCACTTTTATGATGGACAGATGCTCTTTTATGATGGACAGATGCTCTTTTATGATGGACAAATGCACTTTTATGATGGATAGATGCACTTTTATGATGGATAGATGCACTTTTATGATGGATAGATGCACTTTTATGACGGATAGATTCACTTTTATGATGGATAGATGCACTTTTATCATGGACAAATGCACTTTTATGATGGATAGATGCACTTTTATGATGGATAGATGCACTTTTATGACGGATAGATGCACTTTTATGACGGATAGATTCACTTTTATGATGGATAGATGCACTTTTATGATGGATAGATGCACTTTTATCATGGATAGATGCACTTTTATCATGGATAGATGCACTTTTATGATGGATAGATGCTCTTTTATGATGGACAGATGCTCTTTTATCATGGATAGATGCACTTTTGTGATGGATAGATGCACTTTTATCATGAATAGATGCACTTTTATGATGGATAGATGCACTTTTATGATGGATAGATGCACTTTTATGATGGATAGATGCACTTTTATCATGGATAGATGCACTTTTATGATGGATAGATGCACTTTTATGATGGATAGATGCACTTTTATCATGGATATATGCTTTTTTATGTTGGATAGATGCACTTTTATCATGGATAGATGCACTTTTATGATGGATAGATGCACTTGTATGATGGATAGATGCACTTTTATCATGGATAGATGCACTTTTATGATGGATAGATGCTCTTTTATGATGGACAGATGCTCTTTTATCATGGACAGATGCACTTTTATCATGGATAGATGCACCTTTATGATGGATAGATGCACTTTTATGATGGATAGATGCACTTTTATCATGGATAGATGCACTTTTATGATGGATAGATGCTCTTTTATGATGGATAGATGCACTTTTATGATGATAGATGCACTTTTATCATGGATAGATGCTCTTTTATTATGGACAGATGCTCTTTTATCATGGACAGATGCTCTTTTATCATGGACAGATGCACTTTTATCATGGATAGATGCACTTTTATCATGAATAGATGCACTTTTATGATGGATAGATGCACTTTTATCATGGATAGACACACTTTTATGATGGATAGATGCTCTTTTATGATGGATAGAGGCACTTTTATGATGATAGATGCACTTTTATCATGGATAGATGCTCTTTTATCATGGACAGATGCTCTTTTATCATGGACAGATGCACTTTTATCATGGATTGGATAGATGCACTTTTATCATGAATAGATGCACTTTTATGATGGATAGATGCACTTTTATGATGGATAGATGCACTTTTATGATGGATAGATGCACTTTTATGACGGATAGATGCACTTTTATGACGGATAGATTCACTTTTATCATGGATAGATGCACTTTTATGATGGATAGATGCACTTTTATCATGGATAGATGCACTTTTATCATGGATAGATGCACTTTTATCATGGATAGATGCACTTTTATGATGGATAGATGCTCTTTTATGATGGACAGATGCTCTTTTATCATGGACAGATGCACTTTTATCATGGATAGATGCACCTTTATGATGGATAGATGCACTTTTATGATGGATAGATGCACTTTTATCATGGATAGATGCACTTTTATGATGGATAGATGCTCTTTTATGATGGATAGATGCACTTTTATGATGGATAGATGCTCTTTTATCATGGACAGATGCTCTTTTATCATGGACAGATGCTCTTTTATCATGGACAGATGCACTTTTATCATGGATAGATGCACTTTTATCATGAATAGATGCACTTTTATGATGGATAGATGCACTTTTATCATGGATAGATGCACTTTTATGATGGATAGATGCACTTTTATGATGATAGATGCACTTTTATCATGGACAGATGCTCTTTTATCATGGACAGATGCACTTTTATCATGGATAGATGCACTTTTGTGATGGATAGATGCACTTTTATCATGAATAGATGCACTTTTATGATGGATAGATGCACTTTTATGATGGATAGATGCACTTTTATGATGGATAGATGCACTTTTATGATGATAGATGCACTTTTATCATGGATAGATGCACTTTTATGATGGATAGATGCACTTTTATGATGGATAGATGCACTTTTATCATGAATAGATGCACTTTTATGATGGATAGATGCACTTTTATCATGGATAGATGCACTTTTATGATGGACAGATGCTCTTTTATCATGGACAGATGCACTTTTATCATGGATAGATGCACTTTTATCATGAATAGATGCACTTTTATGATGGATAGATGCACTTTTATCATGGATAGATGCACTTTTATGATGGATAGATGCACTTTTATGATGGATAGATGCACTTTTATCATGGACAGATGCTCTTTTATCATGGACAGATGCACTTTTATCATGGATAGATGCACTTTTATGATGGACAGATGCTCTTTTATGATGGATAGATGCACTTTTATGATGATAGATGCACTTTTATCATGAATAGATGCACTTTTATGATGGATAGATGCACTTTTATGATGGATAGATGCTCTTTTATGATGGATAGATGCACTTTTATGATGATAGATGCACTTTTATCATGAATAGATGCACTTTTATGATGGATAGATGCACTTTTATCATGGATAGATGCACTTTTATGATGGATAGATGCTCTTTTATGATGGATAGATGCACTTTTATGATGATAGATGCACTTTTATCATGAATAGATGCACTTTTATGATGGATAGATGCACTTTTATCATGGATGGATGCACTTTTATGATGGATAGATGCACTTTTATGATGGATAGATGCACTTTTATCATGAATAGATGCACTTTTATGATGGATAGATGCACTTTTATCATGGATAGATGCACTTTTATGATGGACAGATGCTCTTTTATCATGGACAGATGCACTTTTATCATGGATAGATGCACTTTTATCATGAATAGATGCACTTTTATGATGGATAGATGCACTTTTATCATGGATAGATGCACTTTTATGATGGATAGATGCACTTTTATGATGGATAGATGCACTTTTATCATGGACAGATGCTCTTTTATCATGGACAGATGCACTTTTATCATGGATAGATGCACTTTTATGATGGATAGATGCTCTTTTATGATGGATAGATGCACTTTTATGATGATAGATGCACTTTTATCATGAATAGATGCACTTTTATCATGGACAGATGCACTTTTATCATGGATAGATGCACTTTTATGATGGATAGATGCACTTTTTTAATGGATTGATGCACTTTTATGATGGAAAGATGCACTTTTATCATGAATAGATGCACTTTTATGATGGATAGATGCACTTTTATCATGGATAGATGCACTTTTATGATGGACAGATGCTCTTTTATCATGGACAGATGCACTTTTATCATGGATAGATGCACTTTTATCATGAATAGATGCACTTTTATGATGGATAGATGCACTTTTATCATGGATAGATGCACTTTTATGATGGATAGATGCACTTTTATGATGGATAGATGCACTTTTATCATGGACAGATGCTCTTTTATCATGGACAGATGCACTTTTATCATGGATAGATGCACTTTTATGATGGATAGATGCTCTTTTATGATGGATAGATGCACTTTTATGATGGATAGATGCACTTTTATCATGGATAGATGCACTTTTATGATGGACAGATGCTCTTTTATCATGGACAGATGCACTTTTATCATGGATAGATGCACTTTTATCATGGATAGATGCACTTTTATGATGGATAGATGCACTTTTATCATGGACAGATGCTCTTTTATGATGGACAGATGCTCTTTTATCATGGACAGATGCACTTTTATCATGGATAGATGCACTTTTATCATGGATAGATGCACTTTTATGATGGACAGATGCACTTTTATCATGGATAGATGCACTTTTATCATGAATAGATGCACTTTTATGATGGATAGATGCACTTTTATGATGGATAGATGCACTTTTATGATGGATAGATGCTCTTTTATGATGGATAGATGCACTTTTATGATGGATAGATGCTCTTTTATGATGGATAGATGCACTTTTATGATGGATAGATGCACTTTTATGATGGATAGATGCACTTTTATGATGGATAGATGCACTTTTATGATGGATAGATGCACTTTTATCATGAATAGATGCACTTTTATGATGGATAGATGCACTTTTATGATGGATAGATGCTCTTTTATGATGGATAGATGCACTTTTATGATGGATAGATGCACTTTTATCATGGATAGATGCACTTTTATGATGGACAGATGCTCTTTTATCATGGACAGATGCACTTTTATCATGGATAGATGCACTTTTATCATAGATGGATGCACTTTTATGATGGACAGATGCACTTTTATCATGGATAGATGCACTTTTATCATGAATAGATGCACTTTTATGATGGATAGATGCACTTTTATCATGGATAGATGCACTTTTATGATGGATAGATGCTCTTTTATGATGGATAGATGCACTTTTATGATGATAGATGCACTTTTATCATGGATAGATGCTCTTTTATCATGAACAGATGCTCTTTTATCATGGACAGATGCACTTTTATCATGGATAGATGCACTTTTGTGATGGATAGATGCACTTTTATCATGAATAGATGCACTTTTATGATGGATAGATGCACTTTTATGATGGATAGATGCACTTTTATGATGATAGATGCACTTTTATCATGGATAGATGCACTTTTATGATGGATAGATGCACTTTTATGATGTATAGATGCACTTTTATCATGGATATATGCTTTTTTATGTTGGATAGATGCACTTTTATCATGGATAGATGCACTTTTATGATGGATAGATGCACTTTTATGATGGATAGATGTACTTTTATGATGGATAGATGGACTTTTATGATGGATAGATGCACTTTTATCATGGATCATGCTCTTTTATCATGGACAGATGCACTTTTATGATGGATAGATGCACTTTTATGATGGATAGATGCACTTTTATGATGGACAGATGCACTTGTATGATGGACAGATGCACTTTTATGATGGATAGATGCACTTTTATGATGGATAGATGCACTTTTATCATGGACAGATGCACTTTTATGATGGATAGATGCACTTTTATCATGGATAGATGCACTTTTATGATGGACAGATGCACTTGTATGATGGACAGATGCACTTTTATGATGGATAGATGCACTTTTATGATGGACAGAGTCACTTTTATGATGCATAGATGCACTTTTATGATGAATAGATGCACTTTTATGATGGATAGATCCTCTTTTACACTTTTATGATGAACAGATGCACTTTTATGATGGACAGATGCACTTTTATGGACTTCAAAACAGAAAACAGCTTGGAAGAGCCAGGATATTTAAACTCTGATTGTGTTTGTCTAAAAGAAGAGTGTCATATACACCTAGGATGACTTCAGGGTGAGTAAATCATGGGCTAATTTTCATTTTTGGGTGAAGTATCCCTTTAATACTTCGGCGCTGCATGTTGACTCTTTTACATGAACCACTTACCCTTTGGAGATACTCCGTTCTCTCTTTCTTTTTGTTTCGACATCTTGCTGCTGCCACTTTGTTTTTCTCTCGCCTTCTTTTCCTCCGGTCTTCCTCTTCATCTTTCTGGCAACAGCAAAAATGAAGGCTTTTAATGAGTCTGCTAAATTTACTACAATCTGCCATTAAAGTAGGTCATTTGTTTAGGCAACCTGTTTAAAACATTCAATATTCACCTTTAAATTCAAGGAAGTTGGATGCAATATAAAAAAGAAAAAAAAGAAAAGAGTATTAAAAGAGTACAAATATAGTTGCAAACTATAAATTGACAATTTTTAAGAGCTTTATCATTTTTGACCACTAGGTGACATCCATGCATAGAAAGTGTTTCGTTAATGTTCCAAAGTGCTGTTGATAATCATTAATTTCTGGTTGGGATTTATATAAACATGTTATTTAAATCCAAGAAGAAGGAAAAAGGGACAGACCTTGAAAACAAAAAGAAAAATCATAGTATTCTACAGGCTAGAGTGAAAAATCTTCCAGTTTGCCATCAAATTGTGCAACGCAATAATTAATTGTAATATCAACAGACTTTTGCTGAATGAAAGCTATAGTATAGCATAAAAACGTTATATAGTATAACTAGTCATAAAAAACATTAGTCTTGCTGATCACATAATCTGAGCCTGAACCGATGGCGATTATGAAATGCTTGTCGTTAAATAGTAAAAATAACGCACAAGTCATGTATAAGGGTATAATAGAAACTTCTTTAATAAATAACATTCAGTCAGTCTGCATTAACAGAAGCAGCTGTTCAGTCAGCAACATCTGCTCACATGAACACGTATAGCTGTTCTTTATAGAGCTATGCTTTTAAAAACACGCTACTAACATCACCAATATCAAACGCAATGAAAAGGCAGGAAATGTAATAAATAGTCCGATATAAAATATTTATATCTCAATAAAAAAAATATTTACAGTACAGTATTTATAATAAAATAAATATTTATGTGAACCAATTTACCACCCTTTAGTACTTTAATTCAGTTTACTGTGAGTGCAGCTTTAAGTACATGCTTGTGAACATGTTTTACTGTGTTCACCTGATACCATCTCTGGTCTAGTCTATATATCATCAGTGTAGAGGGTTTTGTACCTGTCACTGCAAAAATAGCCTGATATAGTTGGGCTAGATGGCATTTTTGCTTTTATTTTTTGCATTTTTATTAGATAATTTTTTTGTGTGTGCTGAAATCACACAAAAAAAATTATCTAATAAAAATGCAAAAAAATGCAAAAAAAAAGTTTGTTTAATTGAAGCAGTGACCGTCTGTCCACTAGATGGAGTCACTGCAGTTTGATACGTACACAGAAAACACCACCACCGATATGTTTAAACACTGACTGCACAAACACACAGATCTGCTCGATCTTCCCAGATACAAACAGGCAGTGCTGCTCCAAACTCACACACCTGTAAAGATAGAGCTGCACCTTCAAGCTTTCTGATTGGCTGATACACTGGAACAAAAAATTGGTGCTGGGTTTACTTTTAAACAGTTTTGAATTAGAAATTGCTTGTCAAATATACAAATAATTACAAATCAATGGCAAGTAAGTAGAAAGACTGAAATGAGATTTTCTCCAATCATTTTTTTTTTTTTTTTTTTACAACTTGGAAAAATAATTTTCTTCAGCTCATATGCATGATGTTTACATGTAGTCTAGAGACAAATGTGATGCCAAAGACACGTCATCAGAGAAGAGAAGAGATGTCTCTGCAAGAGGGAGGTTATTCTGATTAAAGATTACGAGACATGTATTTAAAACAATGATGTGTTTATAATAAACACTGCAATATAAAAAATAAAAATAAAAAAAATAATTGTCAATTTTGATTTTTAGCAAAGCAGTTTACAGCTCCACTTTTTAGTTTCCCTGCAGTTTATATAGTTCAAGTAAATAAAGTGCTGTTTCCTTCAGATGCCCTCAGATTAAAGCATGAAGAAGCTCACCTCAGCTTTAATGGGGAGCGGCCGCTTGCCCAGTTTTCCCAGTAGATGTAGAGGCGACAGCATGGCCCCGAGGTTGTAGAGGTCGGCGTACTTCAGGTGTTGGGTGAGTGTGGTGGCAGAGATGCCCACCAGAGGGCCCAGACTGGGCAGTGCGCCCGCCGTCACCGAGGGGTCCGGGATCTGTCCGGGCATCACGTCACCAACACCCCTGACCACAGCTGGAGGAAACACAACACACTTCTGCATGTCAGACTAATGAGCCATCTATTGAAGTCCAGTTATCACTTGAATATCAGTCGTTTAAGACACCACCAAGGCCTATTAAAGTGCCCCATTATGCCATTTTAAAGGTTTCTAATTTTGTTTTGGGGTCTCCTGCAGCATCAGCTCTTTTCTCAGTGTCTGAAAGGATTAGTACAAAACTCAATCTCTCTAAGCCCCGCCTTTTCGAGAGTCTACTCTGCTCTGATTGGTCAATGACCCAGTCTGTTGTGATTGGTCTACTCTGCTCTGATTGGTCAGAAGGGTCAGTCTGTTGTGATTGGTCTACTCTGCTCTGATTGGTCAAATGGCCCAGTCTGTTGTGATTGGTCTACTCTGCTCTGATTGGTCAGATGGCCCAGTCTGTTGTGATTGGTCTACTCTGCTCTGATTGGTCAGATGGCCCAGTCTGTTGTGATTGGTCTACTCTGCTCTGATTGGTCAATGACCCAGTCTGTTGTGATTGGTCTACTCTGTTCTGATTGGTCAGATGGCCCAGTCTGTTGTGATTGGTCTACTCTGCTCTGATTGGTCAATGACCCAGTCTGTTGTGATTGGTCTACTCTGTTCTGATTGGCCAGATGGCCCAGTCTGTTGTGATTGGTCTACACTGCTCTGATTGGTCAGAAGGGTCAGTCTGTTGTGATTGATTGGTCTACTCTGCTCTGACTGGTCATATGGCTCAGTCTGTTGTGATTGGTCTACTCTGCTCTGATTGGTCAATGACACAGTCTGTTGTGATTGTTCTACTCTGCTCTGATTGGTCAATGACACAGTCTGTTGTGATTGTTCTACTCTGCTCTGATTGGTCAATGACCCAGTCTGTTGTGATTGGTCTACTCTGCTCTGATTGGTCAGAAGGGTCAGTCTGTTGTGATTGGTCTACTCTGCTCTGATTGGTCAATGACCCAGTCTGTTGTGATTGGTCTACTCTGCTCTGATTGGTCAGACGGCTCAGTCTGTTGTGATTGATTGGTCTACTCTGCTCTGATTGGTCATATGGCTCAGTCTGTTGTGATTGGTCTACTCTGCTCTGATTGGTCAATGACACAGTCTGTTGTGATTGTTCTACTCTGCTCTGATTGGTCAATGACCCAGTCTGTTGTGATTGGTCTACTCTGCTCTGATTGGTCAGATGGCCCAGTCTGTTGTGATTGGTCTACTCTGCTCTGATTGGTCAGATGACTCAGTCTGTTGTGATTGGTCTACTCTGCTCTGATTGGTCAGAAGGGTCAGTCTGTTGTGATTGGTCTACTCTGCTCTGATTGGTCAGAAGGGTCAGTCTGTTGTGATTGGTCTACTCTGCTCTGATTGGTCAATGACACAGTCTGTTGTGATTGTTCTACTCTGCTCTGATTGGTCAATGACCCAGTCTGTTTTGATTGGTCTACTCTGCTCTGATTGGTCAGATGGCCCAGTCTGTTGTGATTGGTCTACTCTGCTCTGATTGGTCAATAACCCAGTCTGTTGTGATTGGTCTACTCTGCTCTGATTGGTCAGATGGCCCAGTCTGTTGTGATTGGTCTACTGTTTCTGATTGGTCAGATGACCCAGTCTGTTGTGATTGGTCTACTCTGCTCTGATTGGTCAGATGACCCAGTCTGTTGTGATTGGTCTACTCTGGTCTGATTGGTCAGATGGCCCAGTCTGTTGTGATTGGTCTACTCTGCTCTGATTGGTCAGATGACCCAGTCTGTTGTGATTGGTCTACTCTGGTCTGATTGGTCAATGACCCAGTCTGTTGTGATTGGTCTACTCTGCTCTGATTGGTCAGATGACCCAGTCTGTTGTGATTGGCCTACTCTGCTCTGATTGGTCAGATGGCTCAGTCTGTTGTGATTGGCCTACTCTTCTCTGATTGGTCAGATGGCCCAGTCTGTTGTGATTGGTCTACTCTGCTCTGATTGGTCAATAACCCAGTCTGTTGTGATTGGTCTACTCTGTTCTGATTGGTCAGATGGCCCAGTCTGTTGTGATTGGTCTACTCTGCTCTGATTGGTCAATAACCCAGTCTGTTGTGATTGGTCTACTCTGTTCTGATTGGTCAGATGGCCCAGTCTGTTGTGATTGGTCTACTCTGCTCTGATTGGTCAATAACCCAGTCTGTTGTGATTGGTCTACTCTGCTCTGATTGGTCAATAACCCAGTCTGTTGTGATTGGTCTACTCTGTTCTGATTGGTCAGATGGCCCAGTCTGTTGTGATTGGTCTACTCTGCTCTGATTGGTCAATGACCCAGTCTGTTGTGATTGGTCTACTCTGTTCTGATTGGTCAGATGGCCCAGTCGGTTGTGATTGGTCTACTCTGCTCTGATTGGTCAATGACCTAGTCTGTTGTGATTGGTCTACTCTGCTCTGATTGGTCAGATGGCCCAGTGTGTTGTGATTGGTCTACTCTGCTCTGATTGGTCAATGACCCAGTCTGTTGTGATTGGCCTACTCTTCTCTGATTGGTCAATGACCCAGTCTGTTGTGATTGGTCTACTCTGCTCTGATTGGTCAGATGGCCCAGTCTGTTGTGATTGGTCTACTCTGCTCTGATTGGTCAATGACCCAGTCTGTTGTGATTGGTCTACTCTGCTCTGATTGGTTAGATGGCCCAGTCTGTTGTGATTGGTCGACCGCTTACAGATCGTGTCGTAAACCACATGACCATTAGCATATTGGAATCTCTTCCTGAAGTGCTCTTTTTCAGCACTTGAATACGAACAGTAGTAATGGTGTAATTATATATTGGCATCAAAATAATCACAAATATAGCATGACGAATATTCACTATAAATACTATACTAAACTTTAAAATACTAAATAGAAAATAGGCCTGCAGGACTGCAGTTATTCAGCCTACACACACTTTTATTATATTGTCTATTTTAATAACACATATTTGTTCAGATTACATTCTGTGGAAATTGATCATGACTCATTTTTTCATGTTAAATTCTCGTGAAGTGAACAAAAGAGTGAATGTTACCCATCCAATTGTAATTGGGTATTTAGAGTCAGGAATACTTCCTACTTATTAAAAACGAAAGCAAGTTATGTTCATGAGCTGACAGACACGACATGTTAGAATATGTATTATAAAAGCCAGAGTGATGATTAATGGATTTATAAATTTTATCAATATATTATTAGAGGCTTATATTATTAAGCCTTATTATTATTATAGTAATCATTGTATATTGTATTCAAATGAATTTCCTCCAATTATATTATCCTGTTTATTAAATTTTTGTTAAAAATTAAATACAGAAATATATTGTGTGATGAGCTGACAATCTATATCCTGTGGAAATTACAGACATAAACAGATCTTTATCCTCAAATCGTGTCCTGCTCGACTGATATTCAGCACATCAGACCATAAGATCATGATACTGTCACAAATGTAAATTTAATTTGGATTAGTTGTGTCTATTACAAAGATTACCAAGATGTGTAGCACTAGTCATACCTAACAAAAACAAAAAATCTAATATTCTTTTTGCTGACGTTCCCATTAAGTTATAAAAACGTTATTTCGGAATGTTCTGTGATCATTTTAAGTTTTTTAAATATTTTAAAACATTTTTTTCTTGGTTATACAAAAATTAAGGGATCAGTGGTTCGAGAGGTTACTGTAAGTTGCTGTTTGAATGGGACATTTCGAGACTCACACCTGTAAGTTAATGCAGCTGTCAATCCCAAAAACTGACAGTGTGAGCGTAGCCATTATTATTGAGGAATTGACACATCAACTACAATTATATAAGACTTCAAAGGGAAAAGTAAACCAAAAGTAATGCAAAATATGTTATATTTTATAATGTCCCAAATCAATGATTTAAGGTTATATCTTTACAAAATAAAAGTCCACCTGTGCAGAAATACCAACAAAGCAGCAGCAGGTTTTGTCCAGATGCTCAATCTGTCACTGGAATCCATCATTTAGACCTTTACTGACAATAAAAAAAGAACTGAACAATAAAATAATGTTTTTTAAAGTGCCCCTATTTTCAAGTATGACCTTTCATGCACAGTGTAATACCGCTGTTTGTGAATGTAAAAGTTCTGCAAAGTTTCAAACATCAATGTGCAGATAAATGGATTTATTGTCTCTTTAAAGAAATTCTGAACAGCCAGAAACGAGTCGTCAGTAATTCCAGAGACTCACTTCCGGCTCGAACCTACATAGGTTTGTAACTAATTCGCATAATGCCGGCTTATGGTCTTCATTGGCTGAACAGCGTCTCTTAGCTCCGCCCTCAAACACTGTAGTTGTATCTGAGACTGGAAGAGTTCGGTTTGTGTTGTTCATGTCAAGAAGATGCTGTTTTCTGCTGCCAAAGCAAATCCACTTTGATGAGATTGATACGGTAAAACCCACGCCACCGTTACAGTTCGTATCACTCTGTATATAAGTGCTGAGGAAGAGCTGAAATCAAGATAAGTATAGAGTGTTTCGTTTCCGACATGCGCTGTAAGCGGTTGACCAATCAGAGCAGAGAAGACCAATCACAACAGACTGGGCCATCTGACCAATCAGAAACAGAGTAGACCAATCACAACAGACTGGGTCATCTGACCAATCAAAAACAGAGTAGACCAATCACAACAGACTGGGCCATCTGACCAATCACAACAGACTGGGCCATCTGACCAATCAGGAACAGAGTAGACCAATCACAACAGACTGGGCCATCTGACCAATCAGAAACAGAGTAGACCAATCACAACAGACTGGGCCATCTGACCAATCAGAAACAGAGTAGACCAATCACAACAGACTGGGCCATCTGACCAATCAGAAACAGAGTAGACAACAGACTGGGCCATCTGACCAATCAGAAACAGAGTAGACCAATCACAACAGACTGGGCCATCTGACCAATCAGAAACAGAGTAGACCAATCACAACAGACTGGGCCATCTGACCAATCAGAAACAGAGTAGACCAATCACAACAGACTGGGCCA